ACACCTAGGTGGCCCCCTTACACCGGCCCCTCCCAAGTCTTGAACCATCAAGCTGGAAGGGGGGACTTCAAACTTCAACCCTAAACTGTGCGGAAAGAAAAGGTCCACGATCAAGCTCGACCCTACACCCTAAACCCCTAAACCCTAAACCCCTAAACCCTAAACCCTGAAATTCTAAGCCCTAAACCCTAAGCCCCGAACCCTTAATCCTAAACCCTTAAACCCCCCAGATGCTCAAGAGTCCAAACGGTCACTGGACTCCTGCTTGACGTACTCGAGGTGCGCGTACTTGTTCGAGAAGAAGAGGACGGAGGAGCCCTCCTGAATCTCCCGAGGCTCCTGCAATTGGTGGATTCAGGTCATTGAGGGTCTAGGGTTTAGGGTTTAGGGTTTAGGGTTTAGGGTTTAGGGTTTAGGGTTTAGGGTTTAGGGTTTAGGGTTTAGGGTTTAGGGTTTAGGGTTTAGGGTTTAGGGTTTAGGGTTTAGGTGAAGGCGAAAGGTTTCGGGCCAAAATCCTCGGCCCACCGGGAGACTTCGTAACAAAAAGTAGAAGCCCTGAACCCCAGATCCTGAGCCAGACAAGCGTGGCCCAAAGGCCCCACTTAGCATCGGTCAGAAACTTACACCCTAAACCCTAAACCCTAAACCCTAAACCCTAACCCCTAATGTTCAAGGACGGCTTCGGGGATTGAGGCGCCTGCCCTGAAGGTGCTGGGCTCGTGTTAAGGAAATTCAGTTACCAGAATGAGCGCACTATATTGATGCCATATAACGTATAACCCCATTGTGGGAAAGCAATTTGGTCAGTTCTCAACATTCTGGCCTCGTTTTGGGTACCCTAACTTTTCGGGGCCGCCTCATAATAACCAGAAGGGACCAGAATTTAGAGGAAGTGACCCTAAACCCCTATCCGAGCTAAACCCTAAGCCCTAGGACATAGTTGAGTTCCCAAACCCTAAGCCCTAAACCCTAAACCCTAAACCCTAAACCCTAAACCCTAAACCCTAAACCCGTCAAAGTAAGGGCAGGGGCCTCCTCCTGCCCTCGCCGCGGCTTCGAGGCATGGACCATCTGGAAGCCCTCCTCTCGAAACCCTAAACCCTAAACCCTAAACCCTAAACCCTGAACCCTAAACCCTAAACCCTAAACCCCAAACCCTAAACCCTAAACCCTAAACCCTGAACCCTAAACCCTAAACCCTAGACAAGGGCTCTGCAAAGGTCCTGGAGCGACCTCCAAATCCCAGGCGGTTAGTTTAGGGTTTAGGGTTGAGGGTTTAGGGTTTGGGGTTTAGGGTTTAGGGTTTGGGGTTTAAGGTTTAGGGTTTAGAGTTTAGTGTTTTGGGCGTAGATTTTGGAATTTCCGGGTTGAGGGGCAACCACGGCCATGATCAACAGAAACGAAACTTGATGCAGATCGAGTGCTGGAAGCTGCAGCACTCAACCATCATTCCCTTGCAGTTAAAGGGTCTAGGGTTCCGGGTTCAAGGGTTTAGGGTCTAAGGGTTTGAGGGCGTTTTGTGTTAGGGTTTAGGGTTTAGGTGGGGCACCCTGATCCCAACTTCCCAGCGCTCCAGCCTCGACCCGTACCTGGCTTGCGTCTGCTCTTTCTCCCCGATTGAACTCCTCGGCGATGCGGATGAGGGTTTAGGGTTTAGGGTTTAGGGTTTAGGGTTTAGGGTCTAGGGTTTAGGGTTTAGGGTTTAGGGTTTAGGGTTTAGGGTTTAGGGTTTAGGGTTTAGGGTTTAGGGTTTAGGGTTTAGGGTTTAGGGTTTAGGGTTTAGGGTTTAGGGTTTAGGGTTTAGGGTTTAGGGTTTAGGGTTTAGGGTTTAGGGTTTAGGGTTTAGGGCGGACAACCAAAAAATGACCCTGAGGGGGAGGGGGGGAGGTGCAGGGGCCTGTTTTCGCACGCTTCAAGTATGGTTGGTGGTTTGTTTGGGGTTCAGATGGTTCACCCAAAATCATGGAAGCCCTGAGCCCTGGAATCTCTAGAAACCCCCAAGCCCTGAATCGGCTTCGGGGTTAAGAATGAAAACCCCGACACCCGAAAGACGAAACCCGAAACCCTAAACCCTAAACCCGAAACCCTAAACCCTAAACCCCGTACCCTAAACCCTAAACCCCAAACCCCAAACCCTAAACCCTAAACCCTAAAACCCTAAAGTTTAGTAAACCCTAAACCCTGCCCAGGCGACTTCTTGGATGATGTGATGCTGCGGCGCGGAGAAGTGGCGGTCTTGACCGGTCTCCAGCGTCTCCCACTCCTCCCGTCCGTCCGCGCACACCTTCACGTACCTGTGGGTGGCTTGAAAAGGAGGTGCCTTAAGAATTAGGCGGTTTAGGGTTTAGGGTGTAGGGTCTAGGATTTAGGGTTTAGGGTTTAGGGTTTAGGGTTTGGGGTTTGGAGTTTGGGGTTTGGGGTTTGGGGTTTGGGGTTTGGGGTTTGGGGTTTAGGGTTTAGGGCGACTCTAGGACCTTAATAACTAGGATAGGATTTAGGGCTCAAAGTTTAGAGCTTTTTAATAGGGAATGAAGGCAAGGGGAAGGCGCTTACAGTCTAGGGCTTAGCAGAGGTGGGATACTCACAGCATGACGCTGCTCCGCTCTGAAGATTTGGGGAGCCCTTAAGAAAACTCGTCAGGTGCCCCCAACCCACGGACAAGCACTGGGCCTAAGGACCACGTCTTGAACCCGAAAGCCGAAAAAGCTAATGTGTTCAAACAAAGCTGTTCCCCAATGAGCCCTGTTGAACATGAAACCTCAAAAGCCCTCGTCTGCTCTGATGCTCACACAGGGCCTTCGGGCAGGGGGGGGGGCACTTGTAGTGGAAAGCTTTCTGGGGGTCCAGGTCCACCTCGAGTCACAGGGAAGGGGGGGGTGTACGTCGCACCGACCATCCTTCTCAAATCTTCGATTCAGGTGAGCCGTATGAATCTGATGGCTAGGGTCTAGGGAACCTAGATCATCTGCGACTCCATGCAACATGCCCAGGCAGATTCCATCCCAGAACTGCCTTCAAATCAAAATCCCAGCCGAGAGTATGGCAGCAGCGGCACAGTAGCACCACTATCCCATCTAGGGCGTTCAAAACAGGCCACCTGGACAAACCACTGCGGCCACCTCTGCCCGTCCATCTCCTGGCTGCACTGGTTTGGGTTTCGGGGTCTGAGGGAAGCGATCCGCCGTGGTTCGGAGAGTCAGGCCCTACACCCCTCAACCCCCTGAACCTCCTAAACCCCCTCCCCAAGGGCGCCTTTCCCTCCGAGATCTTCCAGTTGCCCAATGCTGGATGGCCTGGTGAGGGGGCTCTGGGCCTGACACTTTCGGATTCTGGCGTAGGTAGGGCCCGGGGTTTCACGTGCCTAGCAGTCATGTTCAGGACAGCAAACAAACGCCCAAAAGCAAGATCCTCCACAACCCTCACACCTAACCTGAAAAATCTTAAACCCTAAACCCTAACCCTAAACCCTAAACCCTAAACCCTAAACCCTAAACCCTAAACCCTAAACCCTAAACCCTAAAGGCAAAAACAAGGCTTTGAACCTGAACCTCGGCCTCTCTGCAACCCCAGCATCCTTGTAGGCTCTTTAGGTAAACCCTAAACCCTAAACCCTAAACCTTTGAAGAGCCTTCGCCCCGCTACGTCCCTCAGAGGGTCCGAGAGCCGAGAGTGGAGGGTTGTTAGGATTTAGGCTTGATTTGGGGTTTCGGGTGTTTGGGTTTTAGGGTCTTTCAGGGTTTTGGGGTTTTAGGGTTTTAGGGTTTTAGGGTTTTAGGGTTTTAGGGTTTTAGGGTTTTAGGGCTTTAGGGCTTTAGGGTTTTAGGGTTTTAGGGTTTTAGGGTTTTAGGGTTTTAGGGTTTTAGGGTTTTCGGGTTTTAGGGTTTTAGGGTTTTAGGGTTTAGGGTTGTAGGGTTGAGGGTTGTAGGGTTGAGGTCACACTACCGAGTGGGCGCTGGGTTTGGGCGGATAGGGAGGGAGGCGAGTAGTGGAGCAACGTAACCCCACCTCCGGTCCCTTCTCGGACACTTGTACACGCAGCTCTGCAACTCGGGGTTTAGGGTTTAGGGTTTAGGGTTTAGGGTTTAGGGTTTAGGGTTCCTCATCTCAAGAGAAGCGGCTGGGCCCCAAGCCCTCAAAACCCTCCACCTAGGACCGGCATCTGTAAGGCTCATCCGCGCCCTACATAACAGTATGACTCTCCTTCCCCTGCTTAAAATACCCTACTGATCAGGTCCCATGAACCTCCAAGTAGCCCTTCCCGCGCCTCCCACGAGTCGGATGCTGTCTCTTGGCTGCGTGTCTCTGGCTGTGACGATGAAAGTGTACCGCCGCAGCGGCGACGCGTGTGACATGGCGCAGGTGGGAGACAAGTGGGGGCTTCTGAAACTGGGGTATCTTGTTGGGGTCCGTTTCATGAAGGAATCCTGCTACTCGGCCGTCTATTTTTGGGTCCCTACTTTCGTAACTCCCCAAGTCGCTATAGACTGGCTGCAGATGAGTTGGATTGGGAATCAAGACGACGCAATTTCTAGCCGAGCTTCGGGGGCCTCAAGGAAGTTGAGAGTCTTTCGAGCTTGGGGCTTAGGGTGCACTCTCTGGCCACTGCACGGACCCCAGACGCAGGGGGAACTGAAACAGAGGCGGGAGCACATCCAATCTCGAAGCCCTCAGCAAGACAGGACACTCAGATTGTCTTGCGATCATACCTCAAATCGCAAGAGTGCTGATGATAGCATTCGGCCCAGAGCCGGGATCATCAAGCACCATTTGTTGTGACAATGAGACCTCACAACCTGATACCCTTGGATTCGGATCCATGTTTAGGGCTCAATTATGGGGCTTAGGGTTTCGAGTCTCGGGTTCGGGCTTCAAAGTCCAATAAGGACGTGTGGCCCAGAGCTTTCCAAGCTGGCAGGTGCTTTTTCTCCGCGCTCACCAAGAAGCTGCGAACTTTGGCGAAGCCCAGTTCACACACGGCTCTATGGTGGGCATGTGCTTCCTCAGGCACCCGAGCGACGAAGATGGCTGGACTGCCTCAGCACTGCACAACCGCCAAAGACTCATCGGATTTTGCAGAGCCCGCCGGGCGTAGCATCCCTAAAACTCAACCCTGAACCCGATAAGCCACTAGACCCGCCCCAAACCCAAAAACCGACTTTGCAACGTCCCAAGCCAAACCCCACCTCAAACCCCCCCTAAATCTCAAGCCCCCGAGCCTTGAAACCCTCCTTTGCCCACAACCCGAAACTCCCTCCAACCCCAAACGCTAAACCCTCAACCCTCAACCCTAAACCCTGAACCCTCAACCCTAAACCCTAAACCCTAAACCCTAAACCCTAAACCCTAAACCCCTAGCCAGGGCCCCGGCTGTGAGATCTGCAGTGCCGAGAAGGCCGCAGACTGCTCCGCCATCTGTGTGGCCTGCAGGGTTTAGGGTTTAGGGTTTAGGTTTTAGGGTTTAGGGTTTAGGGTTCAGGGTTAATAGTGTACAGGTTTGTGTCCGGTTGGGGTGTTGACAGGTTTAGTTTTCTGCTTTTGCTGGATTTTGGGGTTTGGGGGGGTTTGGGGGGGTTTGGGGGGGTTTGGGGGGGTTTGGGGGGGTTGGGGGGGTTTGGGGGGTTTGGGGGGGTTTGGGGGGGTTTGGGGGGGTTTGGGGGGGTTTGGGGGGTTTGGAGGAGGTTTGGGGAGGGTTTAGGGTTAGGAGTTTAAGGTTTAGGATTAGGGTTTCGGAGTTTAGGGCGTGGATTTTAAGAGTTTGTTTGCACCTTACTTCTCCCAAACCAAGTTGTAAGGGAGTGCATAAGGATTCACCCACCTAATCCCTGAATCCCAAACCCTTAAGCTTTAGTCCCGAATCCCACAAAAACTTAGGGTTTCGGGGCTTAGGGAAAATTACCATTTTTCCTAAAGCCTGAAGCCCTCAACCTCGTTGCGGGCCTGGCGATAGCTGGGCAGCGCCTGGCAGCAAGAGGGCTTAGGGTTCAGGCCCTACACTTCCCCCCCGCCTTAAACACCTAGATTCTCAAACCCTGCCCAAAACACCCTAGACCCCAAACCCCGAAACACCCTAAACCCTAAAACCCCCAAAACAACTTAAGCCTTAGCTGAAGAACTTTCATACCGACTTCTTGCCTACTTGCAGGTGCAAGTGAGCAGCTGAGGGTGCAGGGCTTCGGGGGGAGGGCGGGGGAGGGGGGTGGGGGACCTTCATGGATTGGGGGCTGGTCCGGGTCTAGGGTCCAGGGTTCAGGGTTCAGGGTTTAGGGTTTAGGGTAGGGTTTAGGGTTTAGGGTTTGGGGTTTAGGGTTTAGGGTTTAGGGTTGAAAATTTCGGGTTTAGGGTTTAGGGTTGCGGGTTAGGGGGTTAGGGTTTAAGGTTTAGGGTGTGTAGCTTAAGGGAACTCGGTGTTAAGGGAGTGGAGGGTCTAGGGTTTAAGGGTTAGGGAGCTTAAGGTCTTTTTATGTTGTTGACATGTTACCCTAAACCCTAAACCCTAAACCCTACATCCTAAACCCTAAACCCTACACCCTAAACCCTAAACCCTAAACCCTAAACCCTAAACCCTAAACCCTAAACCCGACCCGGGTTGCGAGAAGCTCGCGCGCCTCGCTGTTGATCTTCTCGGCCAGGCTCCGAATGCGCAGCGCCCGCGCCTGGGACTCCGAAACGGAGTGGCTCCGAAACACTGCCCGAAAGAACCAGGGGTCCGGGATGTGCGGCAACCCTAAAGGGTTTAGGGTTTAGGGTTTAGGGTTTAGGGTTTAGGTTTTAGGGTTTAGGGTTAGGGTTTAGGGTTTAGGGGCTGAGGGCTTTGAGGTTTAGGGTTTAGGGTTTAGGGTTTAGGGTTTAGGGTTTAGGGTTTAGGGTTGAGGGTTGAGGGTTGAGGGTTTAGGGTTTAGGGTTTAGGGTTTGGGGCTTCGGGTGGCAAAAAGCTGCTGCGCTTCCAGGCCTCCAAAAGGTGCAGGACGTACACACTTCTGAAGCTTCGGGTCTTCGGGTCTTCGGGTCCCTCTGGAAGTCTTCCTACGTAAGCCCTAACCCCTAAACCGGAAACCCAAAACCCTAACTCCCCTCCACTCCCCCGAAAAGGCCTTCTTCTCCTTCGCCTGATGCATCAGCTTGTGTGCCTGGCCGGGGGCCGAGGATCCACGAAGTTCATCGACACATCTTGCAGCTCTTTGTCGAAACCGAAGATATCTCAATGCATGTAGGTGTGTAGATCGATAGATAGATAGACAGATGAATAGATGGATAGACGGATTGATATGTGCGAGACGTATTCTGTGTATACGTGTCGGGGGGAGGGGCTTAGGGAGTCGCCTTTGAAGTGCGACCCCGAAACTCACAAGATCCGGGTCCCCTCCTCGAGGCTCAAGGGCAGAGATCTAGAGGGGCTTGCAACAAGGGCTTGGGGTTTGGGGGTTTAGGGTTTAGGGTTTAGGGTTTAGGGTTTAGGGTTTAGGGTTTAGGGTTTAGGGTTTAGGGTTTAGGGTTTAGGGTTTAGGGTTTAGGGTGCCGCTTGGGTTCAGGTGTTTGTGTATCTATTTGTTTCTAACTTGTTTCCGTTTATTTACTGACATTGATTTACTGACATTTGTTTATGTGTTTTTTGATATTGTTATACTTTCATTTATTCATTTCTATGTCTTAGCTTATCTATCCATTTTTTTGTTTACATGCTTTGTCTAACTTTCTTTTGCGTACATACAGATATGGTGTGGCCTGCAACCATAAGCAACAAAGAGCCTCCAGGAGATGCTGGGAGGCCAGGACCGGGCTGCCGGAGGCCTCGTGAAGGCCTCGTGAAGGCTTGGCGGGGGGGGGGGGGGGGCGAGGGGGGGTGAGGGGGGGGAGGGGGGGGGAGGGGGGGGGGGGGAGGGGGGGGGGGGGGAGGGGGTGGGGGGGGGAGGGGAGGGGGGGGGGGGGGGGGGTGGGGGGGAGGGACCCGACAGTTGAAGCCCTGCGGTTTCGTGGTTCATGGGTTGCACGTAACTAAGCACCCGACCAACAGATCTCCCAAGAACCTGAACCCTGAAAACCCAGAACCTGAAACCTGAAAACACTACTGGTACCTCAAGCCGAAACCCTAAACAAGCCGACACCCCAAACCCCAAACCCTAAACCCCAAACCCCGAACCCCGAACCCCACACCCTGAACCCTACTAAACCCTGAACCCCAAACCCTAAGCCCTAAACCCCACACCCCCCAAACCCTAAACCCCAAACCCTCGAGGTCGTAAAACCGCAGCCTGCTCCTTCACCGCCATGTCGGCCAGCTTCTTCGCCTTGTCCACATACATGACCACCTAAGCTCAGGGTTCTGGAGGAATAGGGTTTAGGGTTTAGGGCTTAGGGCTTGGGGTTTAGGGTTTAGGGTTTAGGGTTTAGGGCTTAGGGCTTAGGGCTTAGGGCTTAGGGTTTAGGGTTTGGCTTAAGTGGGCGGTTCCTGACTAAAACTCGCGAAATTCTCAAGGCCCCGTGCGAGAGAACTAAGGGGCCACAACTTATTCAGCTCGCCCCCCTAAACACAACCGCAGGAGTCTTGAAAAAACTCCGGGTCGCCCCTACAACCTGAACCCTAAACCTTACTCCCCTCCCCCCCCCCCCCAAAGAATACATGGCAATACCCCGTGAAAATGTTTGGGTGTTGGCTTGATGGTCGAAGTCTTGAGGGTTTGGAAAATGAGGAGGTTCCGAAACTCTCCACTGGGTTTTAGCGGTTTAAGGGCCTTGTGGGGGCCCAAAGCCAAATCCTGAAGACAGGCTTCTTCAGAAGCCTGCCGCAGGCAGAGGACCCAACATGCACAGATGCTCAGACGCAGCATTCTGTGGAGTGACGATGTCCGTTCTTCATTCCCCTGGTGGCCCCGACTTTGAAGAAAAACACACCTGGAACAAACCCTCTCGTACCGAAACCCGAACAAATCGCCTGGGAAACCCTAAGCCGCGTTTCAGCAGGAACGCTCAAACCAAGAACCCTAAACCCTCAACCCTGAACCCTAAACCCTAAACCCTAAACCCTACACCCTAAACCCTAAACCGTAAATTCAGCGTCAACAAAAAAGCACGCAAACCCTTCCCAGGAAAAGGCGCCTCGTTTGCGAGTGTGACGGCCAAGCCTGGGATTGGTTGTAAGGGGTTCCGCGAAGCTCCCCCGAGATGCAACCACAACAACAACAAAAAATCTCATCCTTGCCCTTTGGGGCTTTGAAGTTGCTCTACAATCACAAGAAAAGCAGACACCTGAAGCCTACACATCAGGTCTATCAATGGGTTAGGGTTTAGAGTTCTCGTGAGCCGTCTCAGCCCGACAATCCTAAGCCACCTAAACACAAGAAGGCTCGCATACTTCGAGAGGACGGTAGGCAAGGGGCTGTTGTAGGATTCCACGGTTGCCTCCACCTGAAGCGGATGGGCTGGGACAATTGGGGGGGGGTTACTTGGGGAGGGCGCAGGTCTCGGGTTGAAGGTTGAAGGTCACTTCGGGATCAGGGCCACAAAGGAACCATCATTTTTGAAGAGCTGACCATCTAGGGAATCTAGGGCTCTCCAGGGGCAAAGTCCGTGGTCTGTAGCGACAGAGGTTTGCGGGTATAGGGTACAGCTTTAGGCGCCGTAGGGGCTCCAGGGTTGGCGGCTGGCGGCTTTTTGTTCAAGGGCTTTGGGGCGGCTGCAGGGAGAGGAGGTCTGGCGGCCAAAAAATGTCGGAATTTGACGGCTTTGAACCTCAAGACCCCAAGAGGGCCCCTCAACATGGAGGCCCTGAACACCTCAACACACGAAAGCCCCACATGCGCACGACCGCGAGCCTGGTTCTCCGCCTCGACGTACGGCTTGGAGGCAGCTTTGATCGCTTGCGCCTGGGTTTAGGGGTTTCAAGTTGAGGGTCGACAAGCTTCAGTTGCGGTCTAGGGATTAGCGTCTTAGGGTCCAGGGTTAAGGGTCCATGGGCCATAGGGTCCTAGGGTATAAGAAACTGTTTGGGAATTGGGATGAGGGGTAGGAGGATTGATAGCGTGAGGTCTGCAGAGTAGGAGGCACTCAGCAAGGTGTCGTGGCACTGTGGCACTGCGGAAGTCGGGCTGTAAGGTTTGGAGATTAGGGATGTCCGAGCTTGGGCTTGAGGCTTTGCGGCTGCTTCAAATTTGCAGGTTCCCGGAATGTGGTACAGGAGCCTCAAAAACTAACAATCTGATGCCCTTCTGATATACATACATTCTCCTACATGAAGTAGGGGTTATATTTCTTGTATTCCCAAAAGGACACCCAGTATATACACTCACCAATATTAAGAAGGAACCTTATATACACTCACCAAAAACAGAAATATATACCCTACTTCACATACACACATACAAAAGGGAAAAATTAAACCCTAACACCGAAACCCTAGACCCAAAACCCTAAACCCTTCCTGTATTTCTACTGCCGCCTGTGCGGTGCGATCCGGCTCCGGGATCTTCGCTTGCCTCAGAGGGTTGGGAGTGTCAGGATTTTGGCGACTCCGGGTTTAAGGTTCAGAGTCGCGGGGTTCAGGGTTTTAGAATTCGGGGGCTCAAGAGTCCAGGTGAGAAGCTGGATAGCTTCAAGCTTGTGGGGTCTAGGATGTTCGACTTTGGGTTTAAGGTTGGCTATGGCCTTGCGCTGAGGGCTTGCGAAGCCCGGGATTTTGGCTCCTTTGGGGTGTTAGCGAGCCCGGGGCATGTGCAGAAACTTTTCGGAGGCTACTTTGCACGGCCCAGAGTTTAGGGCTTCGGCCTCAGGGTTTAGGCTTGAGGGTTTCGGGTTTAGGGTTTGCGTTTAGGATCTGAGGTTTAGCTTTTGGGGTGTAGGGTCTCGGCTGTGTCAAACCCCAAAACCCTGAAACCGCAAAAGAAGTTCCCTTCGCTGCAAAACTGCCTTGCAATAAAACCAGAAGTAGACCGGAGCACATTTCAACAACTGCTGTCATGTCTGAGAGTGAAAGAAACACGCTGGGGCGCAGTGGGATCCGGGCCTGTGTCCCGCGAATTTCTCGTGGCCAACATGTTGAAAAATGAAAGGGCAAAATGTTTTCATTGGCTTAAGGGACGACGGAGCCCCCGGCGCAAGGTCGTAGGTCTGGGAGAAGCCTTCTGCCTCTAAGGCAGGTGCCATCGAAGAAAACCCAAAACCCTAACAGCCTCAGACGGTCTACTACGCAAAACGCAAAGCCCTGAATCTGCAGAGGGCATCATTCTTCATTGCCGGATCGCTAAACAGCTAAAACCCAAGAGGCCCCAAACTCTTTTGGGTTGAAAAGTCCAAAGTTTAGGGTTTAGGAAATAGGGTTGGATTCAGGGTTGAGTCACTTGTCACCCTGGAACACCCAACCTTTGGACAGCAAAGCTTTTCTGGGTTTGAGGCGAAGCTGCGACACCCCGGATCGGCCTGTGCCCTGAAACCTAGAAACCTAAACCCTAAAACATCCTAGATCAGGAAACCCTGTGCCCCTACATCTAAACTGTTCCACTCAGCATCATTTGGTAACCCCCCAAGCCCCAAGCCCCTAGCCCTAAACCCTGATCCCTAAACCCAGCCCCCGCGTTGATGCCTCTGCCTGGGCCTTTGCTGCTGCTTTGCCTGCCTCGTATGCCCTCGGAGGGAGGCAATAGGCTTTGTGGGTTGAGGGCTTTGAATTTAGGGTTGAGGGGCTTCGGGCATGGGGCTTTCAGTCAGAGACCCTCCTGATGCGACATGATGCAACACGCACTCCTAAGAGAAACAGGGCGAAACATGTTAGCTGACTCTTCTGGCTCCTCTAAGATGCTCAGGGTGGCTCCTCTAAGACTCTAAGATGCTCCTGGACAGTATTTAGGGGCTATGCGTTGCAGCGTCGATCTTTAGAGCACGACAGCTAAGCGCCCAGTACGCCAAGAAACCGCGAAAGAACATTCGCCGACCTCCCATGTGCACACCAAAGGACCGCAGCCGTTTAGGGCTTAGGATTCAGGGTTTGGGGTTTAAGGCTTGGGCGGGTTGAGAGCCTGAACCCTGAAGCCACCAACCCAGCGCTTACTCCGCAGTTCTGTGAGTCCGCGCGCTTGCAATGCCTTCTTGAGGTCCTGATGCCACTTCGGGGATTGCTTGAGATTCGGGTTCTTCTCGGAGGAGTCCTTCTTACATGGGATTCTTTTTTCATGAGAATGGGAGCCTGATGTAGGACAGCCACAACTTGTGGCTTAGGGTTTACGTCTAGTCGAAGATGTCAAGAGAGCCACGAGTTCTGGTGCTCAGGTTTATGTGCTTTGGGCCATGCACTGCTTCGGTGTGGATTTTTGCTGCGAAGTTGGGTCTGGGCGACGAGCGCTTGGTTGCTCTAAGTGTTCATGTAGGAAAAGAGAAAGCCAAGACTTGAAAAGGGGCCTGCTTCAGAAAGGTCACGAAGCCAGTGTGTGAGGTTTCCCAATAAACTCAACGGCACGAAGATCCCCGGTCGCCAACCCCATTAGGGCGGGGATTCCCTGAGTTAGGGTCCCTTTGGGCCGTTGTGGGATAGCTACCTTTCTTGGCTCCGACCTCTCCAAAAGGGCTTAGGGTTCAGGGTGCAGGGCTTGACGCTCACCGTGTGTGCAAGGCGAATTTTGCTTTGAATCCAACGTCGGAGAGGCAAAGATGCAATCTGGTGGCGCCCACTGCTTGTTTGCGCCGAGCTGTACAGGGAAACGTGGCCGGGGGGATGCAGCACACACTGGCACGCGACCTTCATGGCCGCGAGGGCGAACCCGAGCCCTGAATCCAAAGCAGCCCTCAACCCAAAACCCTAAACCCTAAATCCCTAAACCCCTAAACCCCTAAACCCCTAAACCCCTAAACCCCTAAACCCCTAAACCCCTAAACCCCTAAACCCCTAAACCCCTAAACCCCCAAACCCCTGAACCCCTAAACCCCTAAACCCCTGCACCCCTAGACCCCTAAACCCGTAACTAACGCATGCTTCATCCAGCTTGCGGCTCCTCAGCGCTGGGAACAGCCGCAGGCGCTGTGAGTGGCCTCGGCTTCATGCCCTGTTAAACGGGGGTTTACCAAAGGGGGTTGCCCAGGTCCTCCGCCCCCAAAACCCTAAACCCCAAAGCCTAAACCCTAAACCCCAAACCCCTAAACCCCAAACCCGAAACCCTGAACCCCAAACCTCACACCCTCCGACCTCAAGCTCGCGGCTCAAGGTACAGGAAGAGAAATCTATACTGTACTTGGAACCCTAGCAAAAGTTATAGTTTTAGCTGTTTCTACCCTAAACCCTAAACCCTAAACCCTAAGAAATAGGAGGCTTCGGGTCCCGGCATCGGAGCATCCTCCTGGCCCGCGACCTCTCCGACCCGGGCTGGGGGGGTTTGGGGTTTAGGGTTTAGGGCTGTTTAGGGTTTAGGGTTTAGGGTTTAGGGTTTAGGGGTTTGGGGTTTAAGGCTGTTGAGGGTTTCAGGTTTGGGGTTTCAGGTTTGGGGTCTTTCGGGTTTTTCGGGTTTCGGGCTTTCGGGTTCCCGTGCACCTTGAGCCCACATAGAAACAAAGCACCCAGCCCCTCTGTGGCCTCAAGCTCCGAACCAAAACCCTTGAGGGCCCCCCCCACCTTCGATGATGTGCCTGAATACAAAAACCCAAGGCTTCAGACCCTAAACTCCTAAACCTTCTACCCCCAGCCCTAAACCCTAAACCCCCTAAACCCCCTAAACCGCGAGCATGAAAGCTCTTTCCTAACCCGGCCTTGGCAGCAGGCGGGGGAGCAGATTTCGCCATCTGCTCTGCTTCGCCTGCCATGGGAACTTAGGACTCGATGCTGGTAAGCACTATCTGACTCAACCTCTTACAACGAACCGGAAAGGCTTCCAGGGCTTTGGGGTTCAAGGTTTCGGTGGTTGGGTGTCCTGGAGGGGGCTCATTCGCCAAGAGGGGGACTCGGATTAAGTTTGGACACCCGTCAAAATCCTGCGCACCGTGCATTTAGGGGCTAAGCATTTAGGATCTAGGGACCCCAAAGCCTAAACCCCAAACCCCAAAGCCTAAGCCCTAAACCCCAAACAGCCGCACCTGCAGATTTGGCGGCTGCCTCTGCCGCCTGCCCCGCAGCATGGGCTGCCTGGCGTCGCAAGGTGGGCCGGGAGGTTGCCCCTTATGGGGCAGCCGAAGGTCACACTGTAGGGGACTTTAGTCGTCGGGGTTTAGGGTTCAGGGTTTAGGGTTTGGGGCTTGGGGTTTAGGGCTGAGGGCTTGGGGTTTAGGGTGTTCCCCCTTATTGGTAACGAGCGTGGCACTAGGCATCATTGGGTCTGTGTGTCGCTTCCGTGATGGCAAGAATGAGGCCCCCTTGGCGACTGCAGCTGCCATGAGCAGAACGCAAGGTCCTACACCGCAACCGTAAACCCTAAACCCTAAACCCTAAACCCTAAACCCCAAACCCTAACCCCCAAATAAATTTGAAGCTTGCTGAGAAAAAACACAAAGCGGCGATCCAGTTGACGGGAGAGAGAGCGAGTGAGACACAGGACTGCGACTTGCATCGAAAGACAGGGAGCCTGCAAGAGCAAAGGGAGGAAGGGTTCAGGGTTTAGTGTTTAGGGTTTCGGGTTCAGGGTTCAGGGTTTAGGGTTTAGGGTTTAGGGTTTAGGGTTTAGGGTTGAGACAGAGAAAAGACAGAGGGACAGACGCAATGGCGAGCCGAGACTGACCCCTCAGCCTCCACACTCGTAAGAGACTCAACTTCCAGACTCTTAGGGTTTAGGGTTTAGGGTTTAGGGTTTAGGGTTTAGGGTTCAGGGTTCAGGGTTTAGGGTTTAGGGTTCAGGGTGTAGGGTTTAGGGTTTAGGGTTATCAACTTCCAGACTCGGCCGTAAAGCCACAAGAGCCCCCCAACATTGTGACCCATGAAGACTGCAGGGATTAGGGGTCTTATAACCCTAAACCCTAAACCCTAAATCCTAAACCCTAAACCCTAAACCCTAAAGGGGGTCTTATGGGGCTTAGGTTCATGGCGGATTTGCCTCCTGGGCCTGGAAGACCGCTTGACTCATCGCTGCCTGACTATGGCTTAGGGCTTAGGGCTTAGGGCTTAGGGCTTAGGGCTTGGGGCTTAGGGCTTAGGGCTTAGGGCTTAGGGCTTAGGGCTTAGGGCTTAGGGTTTAGGGTTTAGGGTTTAGGGTTTAGGGTTTAGGGTCTAGGGTTTAGGGTTGAGGGTTGAGGGTCTAGGGTTTAGGGTTGAGGGTCTAGGCTTCAGGGCTTAGGCGCTTCAAACCTTAGTGAGTTCAAGATGCTGCATGTCATGTCCATCGGATGCAGGGTTTGGGGCTAAAGCTGAGGACTCAGGGCCTGACAGGAAGCGACCGTTCTTGAGTCTTAAGGCAGCGTTCGAGAAAGGGCACCAAGCAGAGGCTCAACCCCTCGGGCAACGCCTCCACCGGCACGCGCGGGCCACCTGAAAGAGGGAAGCTGCCCCATACTTGGAGGCTCATGGGTACTTATGCAAGTAGGGCGATAAGTACGGCTTTTACAATGCGAACTCAGCCTCAGGAAGTGAAGAACCCGAAACCCTGGCGTTTTGCTTGAAGGTCGGGTCGGGGCCGGGGGTGTCGTATGAGGCACATGGGTACGTCCCGAATAGGGGTACCCCATACGTACCCCCCTATCATATCATAACCCTTCTAAGGACGCATCATAACCCTTCTAAGGACGCCAAATTAGGGTGTTGGTAGCCCACCAAACCCTAAACCCCAAACCCGAAACCCTAAACCCTAAACCCCAAACCCTAAACCCCAAACCCTAAACCCCAAACCCTAAACCCTAAACCCTAAACCCTCACAAGATACCAAAGCTCTGAAAGAGCGACCTCCGGAACTCGGTGCCGAAGGCGTACTTCCACAGGGCTTCCAAGGTGTCGGGTGTGTCCCAAAGCTTTTGGGTGTTTAGGCTCGAGCCTGGTTTGGGGTTTAAGGCTTTAGGGCTTTAGGGTTTAGGGCTTAGGGCTGTGGGCTCCTAACGCCAGAACTGTAAGCCGGGCAGTCGGTTCAGGGTTTGGGGGGTGGTCTCGGGCCCCGAGCCCACAACCGTGCCATCGGTCAGCCCGGCCGCCAGGGCGAGAACGAACAAGTGAAAGGCCTCGCTAGGCTTTCGGGTTTGGGGGTATCGGACTTGGGGTGAAGTCGACCTTCTGGAATGGTGCAGAGCCATGAACATTCAGGGACGTGGAAGCGAATAAAATCTAGGGAGCCGGGGGATCCGAAAGTGGAGTTCTGGGGTGCCGTAGGTACACAGGTACTTCACCACAAGCTCGCGCACCCTGGGTAAGGTTGTAGGGAACTTTGGCAGACGAAGCGCCAGAAGGGCTTCTCTTGAAACCTGCATTCTACAGAATCGCTATGCTGATTGGAGATGTCAATGCTCACCTCACCAATCCACAAGTGCCCTGCTTCTGATACGTCTCGCAACCGGAGACAATGCTCATTGGGAGGGGGGTTCCTACAACAGTGATTCTGGTAAGTTTGTGGTACGACGACTGTACCCCTAGTTTGAGAAGTGCCCATATAGCAAAGCTCTCAACTCCGGGGTCGCGGCCTTCATGTCTACATTGACTGGCGGAACTTGAGCCGCGGGCTGCGATTGGGGGGGGGGGTTCAAATCTGGCACCTCTCTGCAAGCGCGGGAAGCTACCAAAACCATGGGTTTGATGGGCATTGCGTGCCTGCGACTGTTGCAGGACCCAAGACCCCTCCAAGCCAAGCCAGTCCTGATCTAACAGCGTGCTTTCGGAGCTGCATCGTAGCAGTACCAGCCCTGCACTTAGTAAAGTTGCTGCAGCCTCCTACATGGCAACTCTGTCGCCTGCATCTGTTCCATTCGTCACTTTTTGACCCCTGGCGAGCTGCATGGCACATGCTGCGTCGTCTGCCGACCTGGCGACCCTCGCGCCCGAAGCCAGAATTAGGCTGCCCCACCTGGCGAACGAAAAGGCCTGTTCCTGCAGCACCGGGCAGTCACGCTGAACACTAGCCAAACACTCCAAGGCATATGTGCTTGGTGATCGAAGCATTGGGCACAGCGATGACCGTGCTGTTCGGCCTTCAACTAGCCAATATGTCCACTACAGGTTCAGGGCGCTGATGAAGAATGTCAACACTGACGGGCGGAACTTGAGCCGCGGGCTGCGAGTGCAGAGGCTCTCTGGCAATCCGTGGGGCAAGAGCGGAATGTAGTTATAGCACCCCGCCCTAAGCCCCAAACCCCTGAACTCCGTCACTCCCGGTGATTGGGAAGCGCATCTCTTCCGGACCATGGCCCTTGCCACTGTTTTGCCTCTGTCCACATGCAATGGCCTCCCGCACGTCTTTTGTTGTCAAGACTCCACTGCTGGCAGGAAGGGCTGAATGGAGCAAGCCCCCTCGCATCAGCACAGACCTTGTCTCTTGCCTCGGCTGTTCTGGGATCCCCAGCAAGACCCGAACATTGTTCATCATTGCAAGAAGGTTCAAAGCAGGAAAGTAGCAAAATAAGATAAACAAATCTTACGACCAAGATAGCTCCCTAAAGCGGTAGAGTCCTTGACTCCATCTTGCCCCTAGAGTCTAAACCCTAAACCCTAAGGCCTGCAACCGAGTTGCAAGGCCTTGACAGGAACGTGTTGGCTTTGGGTCGAGCTCCAGACGTGAAGCCACTGACGCCTTCTTGAACAAGTTTTGGCTCCACCTGGTTTAGGGTTTAGGGTTTAGGGTGTAGGGTCTGGGGTTTAGGGGTTAGGGTGTAGGGTCTGGGGTTTAGGGGTTAGGGTCTGGGGTTTAGGGTTTAGGATTTAGGGTTGGGGGTTTGGGGTTTGGGGTTTGGGGTTTAGGGCTCGCCTCGATTCCTGCAGCCCCGGATCGAGTTTAGGATCTGATCCAAGCTTCGGGGGGTTGGGACTTCTGGTGTGAGTGCAGGGGTTAGGGTTCAAGGTTTAGGGTTTAGGGTTTAGGGTTTCGGGTTCAGGGTGCGAGGCCGAGGGTGTGGGGACGTCTCGAGTGTTGGGGTTCAGGAAAAGAGTCTAGGGTTTAGGGTGTAGGGCTTAGGATGCCGTCAGCCCCCAGCCCATCTTCACTAAGCTCTGATGACGACTCGCTTGCCTGGGAGTTGGGATGTTCGCATTCTGGCGGCTTACCCTCGCAGCCCAATGCAGCTTGAACCTCGGCTCAAGGCTGCTTTGCTTTTTGGGGGAAGGCTCGGCCGGGGGGGGGGGGGGTCTCCTGGTTTACCGGTTTACCGGGCAAGTCGCCTGGGGTGTTCTATGGTGGCTTTGTGGGGTTCAGAGAGCTCTGTTGCTGAAACTTCCGGAGACCCATCATGCCTTTCAAGTGGCCATGGGGATGCTACAGGGATGGGGGTTTTGGGGTTTGGGTTTTTGCTGTGTTGAGGGTTCAGTAGGGTTGGGGGTTGGGTTCAATGTGGCACCCAGCACATCTAGGATAGCGAGGGTTAAAGGGTTCTATAGGACCCAACACGCGCGGGAGCTGAGTGTTCACGTGCCCAAAAAGGACCCAACAGAGACAAAGCTCTACAAACCTCTACAAACCTCTACAAACCCTCAACCCTGGACCCTGAACACCCACAAAAACCTGCAGCCCAACAACTCGAAGCCCAAAATCCGCATGGACCCAACCCTGAACATCCCGAAAAGCAGCCGTGGAACACCTGGATCCGTCCACAGCTTGCAGTAGCCGTGATGGTTCCTCGGGGTTCAGCTCACAAACGGCTTTGGGGTCCGATCTCGGAAGGCGACATTGAAACCCAGAAAACGTGCGGAAGTCCTCACTACGAGGAGGCCTCCAAAGACCCAAAAAGACAAAGAAAAGGGAAGCCCTCAAGACCCTCTGAAACATATTCCTGAATACCAAAAAAAAAATGTCCCAAGGGCTACCTGGGAAACAAAAGGGAGAAGCCCAAGCTCTCAAAAAACGTCCCCCCCCCCTTTTGGGCAGCCAATATCGCCCCAGGCTCAGGTGGATGGCATCCTGCATCCAATCCTCTTCGCTCCTCGGGATGCAACGCTGGGGAAGTGGGACATTAACAGACTAGGGTTTTAAAGGGTGGTTGCTGAAGCAAGGAATTTGACACAGGGTTCCTGAAGAGAAATTGCACAAGGAAAACCAGGGGTTCTGCGTCGTGGGCTGCCAGCTTCGATTCGAACTGCGCCGGGCGCAGCTTGATATTGGCAGGGTTCCGACTTTGTTGGGTTTAGGGTTTAGGGCTTAGGGCTTAGGGTTTAGGGTTTAGGGGTGTTGATGCACTGAATACAAGGCTCATGGTGCTCGTCCGTGTCTGCAAACATCATCCAGGCGCAAACGCTAACATGGACTGCGATTACATTGTTGAAGTCGACAATGTGCAATTTGCAAGTACCACTTCGGTAGGGCACTGCACCATCCTCCTTTTTTAACAGCTTCAGCGTTTGCTTGTGTGATCCGGGCTGCAAGTGATCAGCTTTTAGTTCAAGTTGCCCTACACCTCTCCAAGTCCAAGTCCTCTCGCCATCAATGATTTCAGGGTGCCGCGAATCGGGTTCGCAGGGAAAAAGCGAACGACCCCTCGCAACAAGTAAAATCCCTCCTTGTGGCTGCCGTCCACCACCAGACCATACCTGTATCTAGCCCGCCCCCTCCCCTCCTCGCCTCCTACCCCCCTGCCCCCTTCCCCCCCCTCCCCCAAGACTCCTCGTGTGGTAGTCGCCGTTGAGAATGTGCGTCACGTTCACATACATGACATTCCTCCAACATGGCTCCCACCGGTAAACCCCCAAAGAGACCAGATCTTGGTTCACAGGTCTATGGGTATGGAAGCTCTGTTGGGGGCATCGCGCTTGAACTGACTTGTGGGTATCGACTCCCCTTCCCTGTTACACTCACCCTGGTTCCTATCCCTTGTAACACCTCTAAGCCCTAAACCCTAAACCCTAAACTTCCTGATCCTGGAACCCTGAAACCTCAAAACTCACCAAAGACCGAAGCCCCCAACCCCTCACGCCCTAAACTGCTTGGAGGTTCCATGGGTAGCTATAGGGCTATAAGTATGGTACCTAAACGTCTCACCCTATGTCGGATACTTATGTAGGATTCTTATGACCCGACTTATCAGCACCCACGAACCTCCAAGTAGCTCCGAAGCCCTAAACCCTAAACCCCAAACCCTAAACCCCAAACCCAAACCCTAAACCCTAAACCCCAAACCCTGTCCTGGACTCCGCGGCCCTCCTGATTGCCCAGTTCAGGGGATCCAAGGCGTGGGTTTCATCACAACCCGAGGTCCTGGACGGTTTAGGGTTTAGGGTTTAGGGTTTAGGGTTTAGGGTTTAGGGTCTAGGGTTTAGGGTTTAGGGTTTAGGGTTCAGGGTTCAGGGTTTAGGGTGTAGGGTCCTGGACGCAGGTTTCCCCCGGGTTGTTGCCCGGCTTCTTAGGCCCAACAAAGGTTCGCGCTTTTATGTGTAGTAGGATTCTATAGAACCAAGAAGACTGAGGTCTACCTTCCCAGACCCTGGGGCTCAAGGATCCAGGGCTCAGGGCGTGTCAGGGCCTTAGATGGCTTGAGGAGGTTTGTGGGGTTTAGGGTTTAGGGTTTAGGGTTTAGGGTTTAGGGGTTTAGAGTTTAGGGTTTAGGGTTTAGGGTTTAGGCTTTGGGCTCTGAGGGGCTCAGATGGTGAGAGCCTTCGTTGGAAACGGCAGGCCGGGCCCCATCTTGGCTCGAAGCCCAGGACCCTCCACCTTGCAAGCATCGAACCCGAAAACCCTACAAAGCCCGGCGTCAGGAAATTGTGCAAGCTCTACAAACAACAACCTCCCAACTCCAAAACTGAAACTCGGCTCCACTCCCTAATGGCCCCGTAGATCAAACCCTAAACCCTGAACCCTGAGGCCAAAATGCTTTACAGCCAAATGTCCAGTGCAGCGCTTTGCTGGGTACCGTGTAGCCTGCAGACAGGGGTCTAGGAGGTTTCAGGGTTTAGGGGAGTTCAGGGGTTTAGGGTGTCTCGTGGAGGGAGTGCGATGGCGCTGAAAGCACCCCGAGGCGCGCGCCCTGAGTCGCACGTCCTCACTCAAACCCTTGCCTGCCCTCCACCCTCGTCTAGACCTTTGTGGATTTTGGGGTTCCCTTGCTTTCTGATATCGCGGTCAAGTTTTTCATTCGTGTTTCAGATCGGGGAGTGATAATGACGCGTGCCAAAGGCTGGAACATAACGATGGGTGGCTCAAGGCCTCTGGATCTCGGCTTCGGCATTGGCAAATGGCTTGACAGCCCCAGAGGGTGCACAAGGCTTCATCAGGGTTTACAGAGCTCTCGGAGGTGCAGAAAGCCTACGGTGGCACGCATTACCAAGTTTTATGGTGCTCTCTTGGGTTTCCGAGGAGGCGGATGTGCAAGCAGGTTTCCCGGAACCCTAGATATACTCTTTAAGAAGGCATCAACCCTAGATATACTCTTTAAGAAGGCATCAACCCTAGATATACTCTTTAAGAAGGCATCAATTGGGTTCGTTCCAACGGCAAATTAGAGGCGTAACCCCAAATTCCGACCCCACCCTAAACGAATTCACACCCAGCTCAGGGGCAAGGGAAGTAGGGTTGCGGGTGGAAGGTCGTAGGAAACCCTGTGCCGCAACCTGGTTAAAGTTTCCAACACAGCCGTGGCACCAGTAAGGACGATGTGCGTGCCGGGCGCGGTCAGCTGAACATCCTCGATCACTTTCGCCACATGCTGCTGGAGAGCGTCGATGTCATGAGGGTGGCACTGCTCCTCTGTTTCCAACAAGCAAGACCAACGACAGGTCTCAAAAGCCGCAAGGGGTATAAAAGGACCCTCAAGGAGGCCATAAGTAGGGTTTAAGGGTTTAGGGTTTAGGGTTTAAGGGTGTAGGGTTCCGGGTTCAAGGATGAGACTTAAGGGTAGCTGGGCATCTCTCGATTCAGGCTCGGAATTGAGGTCTGAAGGCTCCTGCATGAAGTCGTTGCCTCCGATGCTGACCCAAACCACCGCCGGAACTCCTGGTACAGAGTTGACGGCATCAGTGGCATCGCATGTCCTCAGCTTGGATTTGGGCTCAGGGTTTGGGTCTACGCGATTGTGCTTGGTTCAAGGCTTCAGGCTTCGGCGTTGGGATCGGCTTAGGCTGCTAACGGTTTACAAGGTTCGAAAGCAATGCAAAAACTCGCAAGCAGTTGTCTACATCATGGCCCTTCCTTTTGTTCTCCGTATGAAAGAAGGTTTCCCCAACAGGTACCTAAACCCTGGACCCTAGATGAAGCTCCTGCTGAATCAGTTCGAGTGTCAACTCCCCCTGGCAACCTTGGCAAGCTCGGGGCAGAAGGCACGAGAAAATGCATCAAGAACCTGAGCTCCCTAAACCCTGAACCCTAAACCCCAAAATAAGAATTGAGACTTCGCGGCTTAGGGCTCGAGGTTGGGGTCACATGGCCTCGCCCCCTTCTTATGGCAATTCTTGTTTCCCTGGCGTCCCCTCCCAAAGGAATAGGGTTTAGGGTTTCGGGCTAAGGGTTGAGGGCTGAGGGTTTAGGGTTTAGGGTTTAGGGCTTAGGGCTTAGGGTTTACGGTTCAGGGTTTAGGGTTTTTTTAGGGTTTAGGGTTTAGGGTTTTAAGGTTGAATGACCAGATGATGGACAAATCGTCCAGCGCAACCGCTCATTCTTGCGTATTTTGGGCAGTTTTTGTTGCTTTGTTGCAAGTATACACAATCATGTCAGGGTTCAAAGGGTACCGTACTCATAACTCCAACACCCCATGCACCTAATCCCCGAACTCTAGTGACTAGTCGCAAAAACCCTGCAGGTCTAAGGATTAGAAGCCCGGAACCTAAGCTGTAAAACCGTAACTCTTTCATGGAAACCCCTGCACAAACCTGCAAAGCATCTGGGGTAGCTGAAGGGATCCTGAAGCCCTCAGTCAACCCTAAACCCTAAACCCTAAACCCTAAACCCGAAACCCGAAACCCTAAACCCTAAACCCTAACAAGCCTGGAACTTCCAAGCCCTGCCGGACAGCAGAGTTGGTTTGTGGAGTCGTCGCAGCTGAGGCGGTCCGCCCACTGTTCTGCAGTAGCACCTCAAAAAGGTTTAGGGTTTAGGGTTTAGGGTTTAGGGTTTCGGGTTTTAGGGTTTTTAGGGTTTTGGGGTTTTGGGGTTTACGGTTTAAGGTTTAAGGATAGGGTTTAGGGGTTAGGGTTTTATTGTTTTAGGGCTTAGGGTTTAGGGTTTAGGGTTTGGGTTTTAGGGGTTAGGGTTTAGGGTTTCATGTTTAAGGCTCCAAGTTTTTCGGGCGCCAGGTTGAAGGATTGCGGGGTGTAGGACTTTCGGGGCTGCTCCGAGGCTTACGGAGTACTTAAAGGTTTTGAAGGCTTCGGGACTCCTACAAGGGTTGCGAACACAGGAAGCATGTGCATGTTCTGGAAAGCAGTCGGCGTACAGCGTTGGGGTGCTCATGGGTACTTATCAGTGTTTTTGACAAGTGCCCTAAATGGGGTTGTAAGCAAAATTGCCATACTGATAACCCTACATATGACTACCCATGAACCTCCAAGTAGGGTAGAAGATAGACAACTTGATCCCCTTGACGCTCTTGTTTCGTTTCCTTGAGGCGGGCAAGATGCTGCAAAACAGGCAAGCTATTTTCCAAAGAAAAATCTTTCACCTAGCGAATAAGGTGACATCCCCTTCCTTTATGGAGGCCATGGGGTGTGTTCACACGTTCTTCGTGTAGTCAGGACCCTAAACCCTAAACCCTTAACCCTAATCTTGTCCGAAACCACCCTGCCTGGAATGCCTCTGTTCACCACCTTGGTAATGCCGCCGCAGAACTCCTGCACAGACTCACCTGGGCTTGTTTCTTTGTCCGAAGGCTATTCAATCTGATTCCCTTATAAAAATACAAGGACCCCAATAGGGTAGTTGGTTCGGAAACCCCATTTGTGTTCTGCGTGAGGACGGTGCTGCGCTCCTTTCTCCTGCCTTTCCGAAGTCCCTCCGAGAGTCCCAAACCCTGCACTCCAATTGCTAAACCTGAAACCCTATACCCTACACCCGAAACCTTAAGCGGGCTTTGACATTCGGGAAATCAAACCCGCGGCTAGCATCAGAGCTTGGGATTCGAAGATGATGGGCTTCATCACGATTTCGGGCTTTGGGTTGTTCTGGTTTCAGGGCTTGGGGCGTCGAGCCTGCACGTCTGGTCTCGTCTCCTCCCCCAAAACCCGAAAACTTCCCAAGCCATCAACCCTAAAACCCGCCTAAGACCCAGAACCCAAAAACCCCAGGCATTACACTCCCTTGAAATGTACCTGGAGAACAAGACTCTCATCTTCGCTTAGGCCCTTAACCATCTACACTAAACAACCCTGAACCCTAAACAGGCAAGATCGAGAACAGGAAAAACAGGCCCTGACCAGCCTAGCTTCCGTTCAGGGTTTCGGGTTTAGGGCGCTTGGAGCTTAGGGTTTTGGGTTTCGGGTTTAAGGCCTAATCTTCTCTACGTTTCCCGAAAAGCTTACGCATGACTGAATTCGAACACAAGCCCTGCCTGCATAGGCTGCCCAGCTGTCGCCAACTTTTAACACGATACGGCCCGCTGCGCCGGAAAAAGACGCTGAGAACCTCATTCGCTTGATACCCTAAACCCTCAACCCTCAAACCTAAACCCTGTTCGACCATCGACCAGGGGAGGGGAGGCAAAGGCTTGCTGGCTTCGAACGATTTCGGGCTCTGGCTGCGCAAGCATTCAAAAGCTACCGGCGGCTGATGGCAAACTGTTTTGCCCGAAGCCATTTCATCGCAGTTGGCTTTCGAGCCGGGGCTGCTCGAGCTTCCCTGAACCCTAAAACCCTAAACCCTAAACCCTAAACCCCAAACCCTAAACCCTAAACCCTTTGACATCCCAGGACTTCTGGATTTTGAGTGCTTTTGGGTCCTCTTGGTGCCCAGGAGCGACAAGATCACCCGAAGCGCGGTCCGCATGACTGGTTCGATGGTATAGTAACATAGAAGGAGAACGTGAGAAGCTACCAAGGCTGAGCCAAAAGGGTTTAGGGTTTAGGGTTTAGGGTTTAGGGTTTAGGGTTTAGGGTTTAGGGTTTAGGGTTTAGGGTTTAGGGGAGGCAGCTTGTTTCGGGTCCAAGGGCCAAATTTTTGAGACTTCGGGATTGCGGATTGAAGCCTCCAAAAAAATTTGGAGAAAGGAATCTTGGGTCGCCATTGGGCACCCTGTCATATAGGGCCTTCAAGAAACATCCACCCCCCCCCCATATGGTTTTGGCCTTTCATGCTACGCAGCCCTGCATTCCTCAGGCTTTCTTCTAGGATATGGAATTCAGGCAGGGCTTTCGGGTTTATGCAGGGGGTAGGAACTAGGGTTTGGGGTTTGTGGTTTGGGCTCAGGCGCTAGACGCCCTATTGAACTCGCAACCGTCCATACAGGAATCCATCGAATCTTGTCGTATACAAACACGAAGAGCTTTTGAGAAAAGGGCGAACGTGTAGAGAACAAGCTCTGCAAAACCCTACGCCGGCCCTGCGCCAAAACAAGAAACGACGTTGCCCATAAGCTCTGGCCAGCGTTTTGGGGGTCTAATTCTTGGGAAATGGGGTGGTTACCGACATGACGGGCTTTACTTCACTGGATGCTGGGGGGGTGGTCACCGGCGTTGCGGGGTCTCATCCAGTTCTTTGGATATCGGGGCGGTCGCCGGCGTTGCGGTCACCAGCGTTGCGGTGTCTACTTCTTTGGATTGCGGGGTCTAGCTATTCGGAAATGGGTGGTCACCGGCGTTGCGCTATAGGATGCTACACGCCTTCGTGCAACGCAACGGGGACTTTGTAGCCGACATGGCGCACACATCAGTGCTTCAGATTGACCTCTTCGCAACACAACCGGAGGAATTCCCAACTGGGCAAAGCCGTGACGGTAACCTGCAAACCAATAAAGCAACGAGTGTCGAAGAAGGTACCAGCTGAAGTGCTATTGCCAGACCGGAAGTGAGCGGCTGCGCCTTGGGAGCGCCCCGCTTTCAAGCGTCTTTTTGGTCAAGCTGAGACTTATACCCTAAGGCTCCAAGTATGGGTTGTACTACATGTACGTCACAGCACAAAGTATACATGGTTGTTCCTAGGCTCCGAGTTTGGGGAGTCTCATATGTACGTCATAGCACACAAAGTATGCATAGTTGTTCACATGCTTAGAGCCTTAGGGTTGGATAGAAGGCCGAGCGCTTCTCCCTCACTGCCGGAGGTGCTGCTCTCGTGAGACCTCTCCATCTCCTGACCACACCTCCACCAGTTTCCAAAGACGCCACCAATGGAAAGACAGGCCAATAGTACAGGGATGATGAAGAAGATCAGCGCCTGGGCGACGGTTGCCAGGAGCTCTGTTACTCGCCACCAGCAGCTGAGGTGTCCATGAAGGAAGCCCGACACGTTGCAGGCGCACGCCTCGGACCATGTCTTGCTCCACCAGTCGCTTTCAGATCCCAGGTGCCATCTTACCAAGGGCACGATGACCATCGCATACGTGCCGAGCACACAGACGTTTATGAGCCCGTACAGCACTATGGAGAGGTTCAGCATCCTAGGGGTTGTCAAGAACACAGAAACCAAGGAGTACCCTGTAAAGGCCGCCGCGAACATCCGCAGGAGCAGGTGCTTCCCAAATATCCAGGAGTACCTCCTTGTCAGTGCCTGCGCGACGGCGCCCGTCGTGATGGTTGCAGCGGAACCGACAAACTTCCGCATCCTGGGGATGCTACTCCGAGCCCGGGCGGTCGCGTAGAAGTTCTGGAAGTCTGGCACGTCACACCAAATTCCATGAATCAAAAGCCGGGCTTCCAGGCTTTCCGGGATACTCACTGCAAGGCTGAGAGATGCAAAGCCTGCAAACTGCAAGATGAAGGCGCTCTCAGGGCCTTTGGAAGACAAGGTTCCCAGGGCGAAGATTTGCACGGTTGTGGAGATGACGGTTTCAGTTAGCTCGTGGGCCTTGTGTTTGACGAACTCCTCGGTGGCGAAGCCGCGCTGCCAGGACTGCCACCAAGCGACGACACCGCGGTATTGTAGCAGATCGCCAGAGAATCTGGCACTGCCCATGAAGCCAAAAGCAGTGCACACCAAGTAATATTGGTTGCCATTACGCAGGAAGGTAAGCATGGACACAATGTCGAACAACGGCTCCGTAAGTGTGCCAACCAACGAGAACAGCAGCCTGTACTGCGACGCTCGTCGGTCGCTCCGTAGCTTTGCACAGTCGCAGTAACGAGCGCAACACCAGGGGAAGCCAAGCTCTCTTTCCTGGGCTGGACCGAAGGCTCCGATGTATGGTTTAAGATGGTTTAAGTTTAAGAACTACAAGAATTTGTCCAAGCATCCCTGAGGGTCCATCTGCTTCACATGTCAGGATTCTGCTTCCAAAAATCCCATAAAATCCATACCAAGGTATGTATGCACAGATGGCTTCCCTCATATTAGGGAGTGGGCCCTTGGGACATGTTCAAAGTGCTGCCCGGATTCTGGACAGGGGCCACCCTCAGACCGGGCACAGCAGCGGTGCGGGTTTGGGCCGAGGCTGCCTCTTTCCGGGCCCCTGGGCTGAGCTGCGAGTTCTAAACAAAGGATGGTACCTTAGCTGCCTAGTACCCTGGCCCACAAAAGGTTCAACTCTGGGTTTTAATTTGCGGGCTTACTATACCCGAAAAAATGTTCAGAAGTTTATTCTACTGGGCTCCTAAGGTACATGCAGCTGCTGCAAGGCCCAGCAGTCGGTAAACGGTCGCGTAGATGTAGACGTCCACCCAGCGCGGGATCCAGGCTCGGCCCAGCTTCCCAAGGGTGGCTTTCCAGCATGTTTGGGCAGCGCGCACAACATCGCTGCGCTCGTCAGCAAGCTGGGCTACAGAAAATGCCAGGGAAATTGCGCTGTAGCTTCCCAGCTTGGCTTCGCACCACTCGCAGCAGCTTGAAGCCTCAGCCCAGCTCCGCACGGTGTCACGATCACGAATGCTTTGGCACGCGGCGGGCTCTTCGGCTAGTGTCAAGTTGGCCTGCTTCAGCCGCTCATGAAAGTAGTCAACGTCGCCCAGACTCCAGGCGTATTTCTTGGGCTGATACAAGGGATCCAGCAGTCCATCGACCAGAGATGGGGCAAACATGCAGATTCCTGAACCATCCAATGTAGTTTTTTTTTGGTGCTCTATATTACACAAAAAAACAGGACCTACCCCAAAAGGAACATTAGAGCCTCTAGGTACCGACCGTGAGGACGAAGAGCCAGAAGAGCAACGGAGCGGCCCCGCCGCAGGCGCCCCTCGCCACTCTGCTAGCCGTACGAGGTTCCATGGCTTCCAAAAGAGGTTCGGTTTAAGGTTTACGGTTTAGGGTTGAGGGTTTGGGGTTTGGGGTTTAGAGTTTAGGGTTCAGGGTTTAGGGTATAGGGTATAGGGTATAGGGTATAGGGTATAGGGTTTAGGGTTTAGGGTTTAGGGTTTAGGGTTTAGGGTTTAGGGTTTAGGGTTTAGGGTTTAGGGTTTAGGGTTTAGGGTTTAGGGCGTCTCGACTGGAACCAAGACAAGCTAGATCCCAAAGTTTCGATCCGAACCAAGACCCGGAAGCGAAAGTTTCGAGTCGAAGCAGTGTTTCGAGCCGGCATCCTAGTCCGAAAGTTTCGACACGGAAAACGAGTTCTTGGAACCTTCCGGCGATCCGGAGAAGGCTGATTTGGCTTACTAAATTCTGCTAATAAAAACTGCATTTTGATCAGGGCCGGGTGCCCAGGTCGAGACACCCCTCTTTCTTCGTTTGTGTCTGCTCCAAAGCACACAATTCGACCTGAAAATTGGTACAGGCTGATCCCAAAGTTTAGATCAGACACCCAAACCCGGATCCGACAGTTTCGACCCGAAAAACATCCCAAGTTTCGACCTTGAAAGCATGGAGGGGGGTGCGGGGGCTCGATCCGAGAATCCGGTTCGGGCAATGACCTTGAATTTGGACGAAAATCTCAAATCCGAACAACGGCGGTTTCGACCTCGAAAAATTGTTCAGGGATGAAAAATTTGCTTTGGATTTCCGCCTTTAACTACGACTAGAATCCCAAAATCCTAAAAAACAGATTTCGATGTGGAAATTGGCTTAGGCACAAAAAATTTTGGTTTGGATTTCCGCCTTCTAAATATAACTAGAATCCCAAATCCTAAAAAACCGGTTTCGACACGAAGTACCGAGAGCCGAGGTTTTAGGGTAACTACTATATTATAATATAGAATGTCGGTCATGTACACGGAGTCCGACATTCTCTCGGACAAATTCGGATTGAACGTCCTGTCGTCTTCGGCCACCAAGTACTAGCGATGGCACGCACTGGAATCTATACGGAGTGCAGTATTGCACACTTCAACATGACACCGTACAAAGTGGCACACCAGCCGAGGTCACTCCTCTAACGCCTCAAGGCGTTGGAGAGACGCGCCGGTGAGTTCAGGGTTTCGGGTGTAGGGTTTAGGGTTCAGGGTTCAGCATCTCAGTTCGAGCATTTACTAGGCCAGCAGTGTGTGTAGGTAACGGAAAAAACTTACCCGCCCAAAGAATTCCATAACATTAAGAAAATACAAGGTTTATGATTTTCTCTTCGGATGCACTAATCCACAAACAATTACGCCGTGGTACCAAGCACTTAACACAGCCACGCCAGGCCTTGAGGCCTTGAAACCCAAACACCAGGCCTTGAAGCCCTGAAACCCTAAACACTAGGCATTGAAGCCCTGAAACCTTAAACACCAGGCCGTGAGGCCCTGAAACCCTAAACAAACCCTTTTTCAAAGCGGACGCCCCTTTACCACATCAGCAGCACAGTGGGCCGGTCTGTTGCGACGAAGTGAGACAAAAAGCAACTAAGCAGAGAACGTCACCAACAAGGAAAGCAAGCAAACTAGAGCTCAATCTAAGGTGAAACGTTTCCCACTCTCAGCACACAAGGAGGTGGAAGTAGACCAGTCGGTTTAAACTCGTGCAGCGCAGGGAAAGCTGCAAAATGCAGACGTAGTGCCAGAGACAAAACCACCATCCATTCCACTATCCATTCCAGAGGAGTCGAGGATCTGCGAAGACGGCCTCAGCCGGAACATTGACATCTGTATGACGCCATCTTTGGTAGAAGGCTGCTCCAATAGCGCCCCCCCATAAATTGGCACGCTGGCAAGTTGCGCAAGTGCAAAATTGGCGATTTTCGGAGCTACACTCGACAAACTTGGCGGCCTTGCGGGACACAAAGACGTAGTAGTGAAACTTTACTGTGATCACAGGGGCGTAGCTCGACTCAAGGCTCCTGTTCATGTACTGGTACTTGAGGCTCTCAATCTCGTCCTTAAACAGCTCGACCGTTCCTAGCAAAGATGCCATCTTGTACTCCAAGTTCTCCAGAATCGTGTAGTCTCTGGGCTTCAGGGTTTCCTCGGGCTTATTCTTGTAGTGCGTATTGGGCTCTTCCTGGGTGAGTGCAATAACTGGAGCGAGGTTGCTTTGGGAAATCTTCACGTACTCAAGCTGGGGCATATTCTGGAAACCTTTCTTGACATCCTCAAGGGCATAGTTCAGGTCTTCCTTGAGGGATCTACTCTTTCCTGCAAACACACCGACTTCGAACACTATCACGCAAATGATCATCGCCAAACACCACGTCCAGCGGCATGCGGTGTCCACATTTCCAACAGCCACTCTCTTCTTCACTTGGTTCCTGACGGAAACCACATTCCACACATAGTTTCCCACAAGAGCAATCAACGCTCTTGATATAGGCTTACTGACTTGTTGCCATGTGCGGTGTAAAGGGAAAGTCTGTTGGTTAGGCAGGCAACAAGTACTTCCAGGAACGCACACAGCGTGTTTTGCCGCTGCCAGGGGCACCATTGATAAAGACAGAGAAGCGAAAAATAATTGTGCGAGACGCTTTGGGTTCAGCAGATGCCACAGACCTGCTTAGCCAGAGCCATTCCAGCTTTTGCTTTAAGGGTCCACGTGCGTGTTTTGGCCACTTTATAATTGTAGTGTAGTTAGGCTGCATTGAAGGTTCCTTTGTGTTGTAGAAGGCACGACAGCCCCTTGGAAGGTCCAAATGCGCCGGTTTGCCTTGAAGGGAGCCCTCCTTGCAGGAAAGGAGAGTTCAAACTTGATGGACAGGGACGGCCTGTGATCCAAGGGCAAATTCCTTCTTCTGTCTGCAACACAAGCGGCCCGTTGAAAATCAATGCATTTGTTAGAGTAAAACTTCATGTGCGGCAGGTTAACTTGGCGGAAAATCCGCTCAATTTGGATGCGGTGCGGCCTGCTTCCAGAATGCACTTCTAAGCGACGGAATGGCCAGATGAAACCAGATCCAATGAATCTAATGTCTTCTTTCGTCAAACGCTACGTAAAGTAGACTTGTGCGTTCCCTTCAGGTTTCTGTCCATCAAGTCCGTTGGAGAAGTTTCAACTGTTTCCGGTTGTGAGGCCTAGGTAGGCTCTACCAGCAAGCAATGCAACTGCAGCCGCTGGCGGCACGTTGACTTGCAGATCTGTGAGCCTGCCCTGTCTGTTCTTTCCATTTGGGGCCACCTGCACATTGTTAGGGTAGACCTCCGGCTCGCGAAGGTGGCGCATGTTGATGTGCGTCGAAGCAACAATCCTTCTAGCCAAAAATTCAAATATTTGGTTGTCTAGACACCTGGAATGTCTGAGACAGCAAAGAAAAAGATCATGGAATCCTGCAAGTTCTCCAAAGAAAGTCGGCGGCATTAAAAACGCTCTGCCAGTGTGCACAGCGTTCCTCTAACGCTGATGAAGCCTTGCCATCGGCCAGGATTGGATCTCTCCGTCAGTTTTGCCAATCGGGAAAGGACGACACCCCCCTTGAGTGCAGAGGGTTCAGGCACTGTGGAATTCCGATGGCAATACATTTTGTACCAGGGCCTTTGAGTTGTTGACACATCCACTTTTGAGGAACATTTTTCTGCTGAGTCTTTTAGGACTTACAGCCCCAGGAATGATCATTTGGATCAGTCTTTCTTTTGTGTGTCAAAGAAGAGAACATCGACATCGTTTGCTGACAGGAAGTAGAGCCACCAGACGAAGGAGAAGACCTTCATTCTGGACGTGCAGGAAGATGCACCAGGCCATGCTGCTTTGTGTTTTGTGCTACAGCAATTTAGCAGTTGCAGAGGGAATGGAGCAAGCGTTACAAGCATTGACAGCACAGACAGCAGCAACAGCAGAACAAATACATCAGATGGCACAAATTGTCAGTACAGCCACAAGCAGCTCCAGCAACACCCAAGAAGGAATGGCAACACTGTTCAATCAGTGGGCCCAAGAAGGAGCACAAAGAGAAAGGATGCTAGCGACTTTGAAGGAAATCAGCGAGCAGTCAATTTCTGGATTCAAAGAAAGCCAGGAATCAGTTGCGACTCAGCTTCGAGCAGCAGTGAAGGAGTCAAGAAACATCGGTGAGGTAGAATTGCACAAGCTGGTGAAGGCCCCTGATGTCTTCGCTCCTACAAGTTGGCAGGAAGAAAAGAACAACTTTGCAGAGTTCAAACACCGCCTCAGAACATGGTTGGGATCATTGGATAGTCGCATTGTGGCAGCCTTGGATGTGGTGGAGAGAGCACCGCATGAGCCCTTGAACATGGCCGATATGACTGAAGCAGGAAAGGAAACGTCAAGGAGAATCTATAGCATCATGTCCTCGTACACGAAGAACAGGCCACAACGAGTTGTCCATGCAGTCAAAGATCAGAATGGTATGGAAGCATACAGACAGCTTCTGTATTTCAATCAGCCCAACACCAAGGCGCGTGCTCTACAACTTCAACGTGAACTCCAAGCTTTTCGGTTTGACAAGGATAAAACCTACAACGAGAACTTGCTCAAGTATGAGGAGATGATTGAGGAGTATGAGAAGGCAAGCAAGGAAAGGACTTCGGATGCATTCAAGATTGGGACAATCATCGACAGTGTTCCCAACAATGTGCGACAACACATCCTTCTCAACATGAAAGAGGACACAACCTATGACCACCTTCGCTCGTTCCTCACCACCTATGAGAACTCAAGGAGATGGACGCAGCCTACAACAACTGATTTGATCAATGCGGGAAAGGATCATGGCGGACAAGCTGCAATGGATGTATCAAGAGTAGACAAAGGTGGTTACAAAGGATGGTACAAAGGCCGAGGAAAAGACAAAGGCAAAGATGGTGGAAAGAAAGGTTACAAAGGAGACAAAGGAGGAAAAGGAAAATGGTCCAAAGGAGGAAGGAAAGGAAATTGGAAAGGACGAGGAAAAGGAAAATCAGGATACAAAG